AGGTTTAGGGGTTAATTTTAGGTTTAGGGTTTACAGCGTGCTTCTGTCTCCGTGCTGTTGTTGCCCTGTTGATGACGTCAGCGACACGGTTTAGTAGGGCGCGGTTTAGTCGGGCGCGGTTTTGTGGTGGAACCATATGAGCTTGGTTGTGTGCTTGCGGATGTTTCATTAGCCAACTATGTAGGTAACACCACCAATGGACACCAAGCACAGGGAGGACTAAGGACGCCACAGTTCAACCCTGAACTACATATATTCTCTTCTATTGGAATCCACTTTGCAACCTGGATAAACAGAGATTGCAAATAACAGTTTGCAGTTCAAAGAATACTAGCAAGAAATTAACCGGGGTTTCTTTTTTTGAGTGACAGCAGCATCCAGGGGCTGCGGAGTGGCAGCCTGGTGGAACTGAAGGTGTAATGCAAGGAATATGAGCTAACATGAGTCTAGATTCCATCATCATTCCACCCCCTCTATTTAATACAGGTAGTCCTCGACTTACAACCGTTCGTTTAACAACGGTTCAATGTTACAATGGCTTTGGAAAAAGTGATCTAATGAACTGAACTTGCACTTATGACGGTCGCACCGCACCCACAATCACGCAATCGCAACGTGGGGTGCTTGGTAACTGGCTTGCATTTATGACCGGTTGCAGTGCCCAGCGGTCAAGTGTTTGTGATTTGTGGCCTTTTTTTGCCGATTTCCGGCCAAAAAAAAAAAAAAAAAGCCCTTTGGGGAAGCTGGATTTGTTAACGATCATGTGATGCACACATCTGCGGTGATTCACTGCCGTAAAAACTGTCGTAAAATCGGGTCCAACTCGATTTACGACCGCAACAACTTACGACGGGAATTCCGGTCCCAATTGTGGTCGTAAGTCGAGGAATACCTGTACAGAAAACAAAAGGTATATTTGATGAGAACGTCTAAAGCAAGTTTGCCAAGTAGGGCTTTGTCTGTTTTGGTCTTGTTATTGCCTGGCCCAAATCTTTGTGGTTAAAAGAAGAAGATTGACACAGCCAACCAACCTAGCAGCTTTTTAGTGTTTGCTTGAGAAGGCTGTCCCATGTCCAGGCTCATGGATTTCCTTGTGCGGGGGCTGATCTGCCCAACAGTTGGGTAATTAGCAGCGAGATGTCTGTCGGAGTTCTTGGGAGAAGACCAGGGCTGGTTTTCTCTTAGTGTCCTAAAAAGGAAAAAGAAAACCAGTCATTTCAAAAACAAACCATCTCCCCACATCCGGACATTAGTCAGATACGTGAGCTTCCTTCCTTTTATCAAGTCGAGTGGGCACCCGTGCATTACCTTACATCTAGGGCAGGGGTGGCAAACTCGATTTCATTAAGGGCTGCGTCAGGGTTGTATCTGACCTCGGGGGGATGGGATGGGTGTGGCCAGGGTGGACGTGGCCAGCTCGATGTCACTCCTGTCAGGGGCTCCTGTGGTGGCCAAAGCGTGTGGCCTTCCTGAGCTCCGTTTTCACTGGCAGAGGGTTGCAGGAGGTTGTGGCAGCTGAAAACGGAGCTCTGGAGCCTGTTTCTGCTGGCAGAAGCCCCGTGGGCAGGTCCTTTGCTATTTCCAGGCTGGTCCCATGGGCCAGATCTAAGTACCCTGCGGGCCGGATCCGGCCTCCGGGCCTTGAGTTTGAAACCCCTGATCTAGTGCTTTGGCTCTCTCTTGCTTTGGCACGAAGCTGGGAAGAGAGATGATTCAAGGCCACAATGGATCTGAGCGTTTTCCCAAGATGTAACTGGAATGAATACACTGATGCTGTGGACTTAATGATGCCATCACACAAGTGATGCTAATGATGGTTTTCATGGTTTGTTCAATGATATCATGACACATGGTCCCATTGTTTACTCTCCTGCACCTCAGCAGATGGCCAGGTTCTACTGCTGCTTCTTTAGTGTCTGTTCTACTAGGCTCCCTCAGAAGGAGACATGAGATAAGTAATGATGCAGTTTATTTGGGGCCTAGCACAATGAATGAATGTCAGTGAATAAAGCATGTCTTGTTTTAAGGTAATCTGAAAGCAGTTTGTTGAAAATTTATTCAGTGAAACTATGGATTAATGTGATGTGACATCAGGGGTGGTGGGATTCAGCTGGTTCGGGAGAACTGGTTGCTAATTTTGCATCTGGTTCGCTGAACCAGTAATTGCAAGGACTGGCTGGCCCCGCCCCACCCACCCCTCCCCTCCCAAGAGTCCCCATGTGGCCTATTTTGGATGCCAGGTGAGTGCAGGACCCGTGCGAAGGCTCCGGGAGGGTGAAAAACAGGCCTCCCAGAAGTTCCGGAAGTCCAGAAATGGGTCTGTTTCTGGCCTCCAGAGCCCGGTGAAGGCAGTTTTTGCCCTCCCGGGGCCTCAAGAAAGCCTCTGGAGCCTGGGAAGGGTGAAAACATCTCCTCTCCCCCCCACCCCAAATGGTGCAGGAGGCCAAGTAGGCTATGCCCACTATGGCCACACCCACCCAGCAACCAGGCAGAGAACTGGTTGCTAAACTTTTTGAATCCCACCCCTGTGTGTCACGTTACGAATGGTTTGTTCAGGACAAACTTCTAACCTTCAAGGAGGAGGAATTAAGAAAGATACAAAGCAACAAGGCTATGTGTGTCTTCAAGTCTGATTCTGGCTTGTTCAAACAAACAGCAACTTCTCACAATATGAATGCTATGAATCCTCAAACCACAAACCAGTCAACCTACATCTTACCAGTGTATGAATATCCAGGCTTTCTGATTTTGCGACTGGGGTTATATAATATGTAAACTGTAGAGTTCTTGGTGTTTGCTTGCAATGTTTTATTACTCAGCTAGATGGCATCAGCATCAGCAGCATAACTGATTATATTACCTAGGTTGGGTCATTGCAAGCAAAGAACCAAGCTCAGAGACCACAAGAAGCTCACAATTCAACCCCAAACTGTAGACACTCTCTTCTATTGAAACATGTAGAATAACTAGATTGAAGTAGAATAATTTATGGTTTAGCATATTAAGAGAAACCAACCAGATTACTGTGTGAACTAGGCTCTCGTCCATAATTTTTTTCAGCATAGCATGTCACGTAAATACAGCTGTTAGGTTATGTTAAAAATATTCTGTAAACTCAGCCCAGAAAACCGAATTCAGTTACCCTGGTTAAGCTAACGAAGGTTTAGCATATTGTCTGAACACAGCCAGGATATGAATTTAGCTAGTGAAACATAATGTTTGAGCCTTCCAAGATCAAGTTCTTGACAGCTCTTTCTTTCCCAGAATAACTTTAGTTGCAAGTAATTTTTGTCTTTTGCCTCCTGCCCTTTTTTTCCCCTGTGTCATAAATCATTTAGCTGCCTTCAGTAATTTGCAAAAACAAATAAATTCTCTCCCGGCTGGAGAGTAACAAGTGGGTTGAAGTGTCTTTCCAAGTCCCTTCTTAAATGTCATTTTGCACCAAAGGACAGCATCAAGGGACAGAGGCCTGAGTTTCACACACAATTCTATTACCGTATTTTTCAGAGTATAAGATGCACCAGAATATAAGACGCACCGGAGTATAACACGCACCGGAGTATAAGACGCACCAAGATTTTGGTGAGATAAATTTAAAAAAAGTTTTTGCACTCTACAGACCTTCCAAACCCTCTGCATGCCTCATTTTTTTGTAAAAAACGGGGCATGCAGATAGTTTGATAGGGCCGCAAAGTGCTTCTCAGGGCTTGGGGGGAGGGAGGCAAAAACAAGCAAAAAACAGCCCATTTTTCGGTCATTTCTGCCCTCCTCCACCCCCAGGAACACTTTGCAGGCCTCCCAAATCCTCTGCACATCCATTTTTATGAAGGGGTCGGGGTGAGGCCAAAAATGCTGTATTCAGTGGATAAGATGCACCCAGATTTTCACTCTCTTTTTTGGGGGGGAAAGGTGCGTCTTATACTCCAAAAAATATGGTAGATAGAATATTACAGAACTGTCCATATCCTCTAATAAACGTTTCAAAATTTCACTGACCTACAACTGGCTTCATTGTGGTGTATGGGATATGTCTCCATAGGAACGTTTTCCATTGAAATATCCGTCAAGAGGAGTGATTTCCTATGCTTTAAGCTGCACCGGCTCCTAACTTCCTCGGACATAGTCAGCAGAGCTGAACAGACAAAAGGAAGCACAGAAATGTTCAAAGGATATTTGACATATTTCACATTCTTCTTCCAAACAGTCGAGACAGCATTCTTCTTCCTAGTATTAGAAAACTCTCTACCAACTTACGGTATTAAATCAAGAACTCAGAATCCTGAGAAACTCCGTTCTGTTCATTTTCATTTAGAAAAGAAATAAAAATAAAATTTGAGGGAGCCACTGCACTGCCAATTCTCCACTGTGACAAAATTCTAAGTCCATAAGATCCTAAAGCATGACATGACTCTTGTTAAATCCTCAACAAAAGACACCCCACCAACCTTTTTATAAATGCCTTTATGTCTTGGCAAACCCTCCAAATGATTTTGGCAATCTGACTCTGGCTTCCCATGTGATGACAATGCCTACATATGCAACCTCCAAAGAATATTGAAATCTCACAAGATTTAGATATTTCACAATGTTTCAGTCTGCATCTTTATATTATTATTTTAATGGAGGGGTGCAAAAACTGTTTAAGGCTCACTGGGTGCTGTGATGATGATCCTTGTCTTAAAGAAAAGGCTTACAGACTTAAATGGGAATGAGGATAGCCTTGACTTAACGCCACAACTGAGCCCCAAAATTTCTGTTGCTAAGCGAGACAGTTGCTAAGTGAATTTTGCCCCATTTTACGATCTTTCTTGGCACAGTTGTTAAGTGAATTACTGCAGTTGTGAAGCTAGTAACACGGCTATTAAATGAATCTGGGCTTCCTCACTGATTTTACTAGTCTCCAAGTTATAATAGCTAGGAATGGGGAGATCGAGTAAGGGTTGGGGTCGATAGCCTTTCCATCTTAAAGGTAAAGGTTCCCCTTGCACATATGTGCTAGTCGTTCCTGACTCTAGGGGCCAATGTTCATCTCCATTTCAAAGCCGAAGAGCCAGTGCTGTCAAAATATGCCTCGGTGGTCATGTGGCTGGCATGACTCAATGCCAAAGGTGCACGGAACGCTGTTACCTTCCCACCAAAGGTCAGAGCCAAGGACAGAGCCAAGGTGGCGCAGTGGTTAAAATGCAGCACTGCAGGCTACTGCTAGATCAGCAGGTCAGCGGTTCAAATCTCACCGGCTCAGGGTT